TTTATTTTACTTATTATTTTTAGATAGTGTTTATCGACAGAAAATGATTTTGTGCTACTCCGTTTGCTTTAAAATTAATTAACACATAGGTAAAAAATAAACAAAATTTTAAAACGTGCTATTTATTAATAATACAAAAGATAGTCCAATTCCAATCCGTGACTTGCGAGAGGGCGGTTGTCAGTTACTTTACTAAAGGCACGCTATATAGAAACTGACTAAAAATAGGTTTTAAAAGAGATGAGGCAGTACCCAATCTACTATTGATGCGATTTAAATAGGCACTTCCCATAATTACTGAATCTTTCCATCCAGGGAAGTAGTTCTGCTAGTTTTTTAAAAAAAGTTATGGATATACATAAATGAATTAAAATAAACTTGTCTATATATATTCGTCACAGCTTACTTGTTTTTGTGTGGATTTGATAAGGGTTATCCTCAGTGGCGGACTAACCTCGTTGGTAGCCTGGGCGGCATCAGGCTCGGGCTTTTTTTAACGCAGGGGAAGTTTTTTAAGCAGGGGAGTTTTTTTACCCTAAAGCCTTAAACCAGGGCTCCTCTTCCATCCCACCCTTAAAAGGGCAGGTTAATGTGGAAGCCTGGTAAAACCCGCTGCGGTTCACCTCACGCGAATGGATGAGTTCGGTATCCAGCAAGGATTCCCGGATATCAGGCTCGGTCCTACAACTTTTAAAAGAACTTTTAGAAAGATAAGGCAGTACAACCTCAATTTATGATTTGATCAAGGGAACTTGCAGCCATTTAGAGGCCCGGGGCGGACGTCCCCCCCCCTTAGTCCACCACTGGTTATCCTTTCTGATCCTTGATTTACATTAGGCCAACGATAAGCTCGCCGCATTATGGATCAATACAAATTGCTTCTAGGCCTGCGCAAATGCATATCGAGGCCCAAAATTAAAATGTACATTTACATGCGGAGTGTCAATTGGCAAGTAACTTCTTGTAGAAGTCAGCTCACACAGTAGTAAGCTGAGAATAATTTTGCTATCAGACATACAGGTGGATTTTTCAGCAAGTTCGGCGAGTCACCAAAACTTGCCGAAGTCCACTAGAATAAATAAGCATTTGCACGTTGGAAGTAGCTTACGTAAGTAAACTTCTGCAAATTGATCGAAAATAGAGATTGAACTTTAGATATGCGAGACGCTACCATTGTCTCGCGAAGATATATAAAAATAACATCTATGTAGATTAGATATGGATAGGTATGTTATTTATTCATTTTTGTTCAAATATAAAGTTGAACTTATAAATATAAATAAAATATAGCAATAGCGCTAAGGAATGTACACACATATATTATGCAGCAGAACTATTGCCCAGGATACCCATATTAACATTTGAGAACATAATATTAAGAAGAACGATCTTTGAAGATCTGTCTCAGTTCATTCTAATGTTTTGATGTTACCTACACATTCATTTAGATTTTTTTTGACGCTCGCTATATACATTTTATGCAAAAATGTTTTATTTGTTCCTTTTTATTTGTAAGGTGGGAACTGTTTTTACGTTGATCGATTATAAAATTAAATTATACATGTTTTTAATAGGATATATGCAGGTTTTTCATCGGATTTGTATGCTATCGAGTAAAGAAACGTAATTTGTGATTGTAAAAAAGATTGCCAGATAATAATTATAAAAATGGAGTAAGGCGTTAGAAAAAAAGAGCAGAAGGCATCTCCATTCAAACCCCGCTACATTTAAAACAAAAAAGAATAACAACTAATTTAAATTAGGTTAATCTTACGAAATAAACTTTTATCTTTTTAAAGTAATTTTTTAAATCTGCTATTTGATATTTATATCTATATCTACAATTATGTACCACGCATATACCCTATTATAATACAATTAGATCGACTGAGAGGCAATCCTCAAAGGACGTGTAAAGGCGGCCGTGGCAAAACTATTCCAATTTCAAAATTTTAATAGTAAAATTAACAAATTTTGAAATCGGAACGAAAGTTAGAAGTAGAAAAATATTGCACACGCACTAACCGACTCACCAATTTTATCATCATGATTCCAACCAATATAAAGTATTTACATTTTTTTTAAGTATTATTAGATTTGGGTATTGTGATGATAGTTCAAGAATAATGTGATGTAAACGAGATATACTTTACATTTTAATAAAAGATACGGATCTTTCTTTAAATTCAATCCTCTTTAATTACAGTTACTTATTTCTTTATGTCAATAAAAGTCTTCAATTTCTAACACTAAGGCTTCGAGTTTCGAAATAAAATTAAGCGGTCTATAATAAACTACGGTACTATAAGTTCTATATAATTCTCAATATAATAATAAATCAATAATTTTTCGCTTATATAAGAAAATTTCTAGGCATGTTTACAATTAACTTTACGAGTATAAAAGATGGTTCAGTAATTTAAACGTAGAAATGGTTATTGTACATTTCATCAATATTTTTTTTATGTAATACAAAAAACAATTCTTAACAATTCGCCTTCAAAAATTTGCTTGCGCTTAAACTAACGCTTACTTTATAATTACTCGACGAAATCTAATCTTAGAACTCGCTATTTACAAGTACTAGCCTCTCTTACGTATGTATGTGATGAATTTTGTATAGACAGACCACAAAATGATAACCTTTCCATATTATTTTAATCAAACAATAACCAAGCACAGGTATGTTACATTCAGTCTTATATAACTTGACGACTTCAATGACATCGCCCGTGTTATGTAGCATTTAAGGTGCTCATCGATTAGAGGCATTAGCATTTCGTTAATGAATCTATCAATAAATATAAACATTCATCGGGCTATCATTTTGAAGTTCTGTACATTAATTTCCGAAGTATTTTGCTCGTGAATAAGCGTTACTTATCACATGGTCGAAATAATGAAATAAATAGTTACATGTGTGCGTTTATTTTATTTAAATACGTAAATATACGAATTGGCAGTTACATTCGTAGTTAAAAATAACAACTCGATTATTAAGTATTAGCAATCACTACTCTAAATAAATAATTTATTTTACAAAATCATGGCATCTTTGGTATGTATTTATAGATATAATTATGAAGAGAAATAATTGTGAGTATTACGAAGGCAATTTGAGAATGCCCTTTTTATTATTATGGCGTATAAAAATTATACCTTGCACGTTATCTGACTAGTTTAATGATATTGTTTTTTTTTATACGAAAATTTTGATTATACTTATAGCATTCGCGATGAAGTATTATAGCTATTATTTCGATTCACAAAAATATGTATATCAAATATTTTAAAGAAATATCAATATCATTAACTGACTCAGATAGCAGCCATTTTTCAATATTTGTCGTCTACTGTAACTTCTACACTAATGGCGATTTAAACCACGCTAACATCAGTCCAAAAGAAAAACTGAGTAATTGTCTTGTACCAATTACAATCTTGTCATACACACTTAGGCACTAAGTCATTACAAATAGAATTGACATTTTCTTTACACACATTCAATTGTCAACAATGAGCGAAGATGAATTTGAATACTATCCATTATCCGGGGTACAAAATAAAAACTAGCTAGTTTACAAATGAAGTTGAAAGCGTTTGTAGGAAACGTGTACTCGATTTACACTTTTATAAAACTACATAATAGCAACAGGAACGTCTCATAAAAAAGATTATTAACGTTTGGCCCACTCTTCTCGAAAATTTAGAAACGACAGTAGACAAAGTTGATGTATCAAGTGTCAGAATGTATGTACACAATGATCACAGTTACACACCGTAACTTTACAATGGCGCACCAACAATCTAAATTGGCAATGTGGCATCACAGTGCCATCTTAAAATCTATTTCTATGTATACATATCGCTAAATCTATAACATTATCGTTAATTATCAAAACGATCCCCTAATAATCTAGATACACCCATAAGAAGCACTTTTTTAATGAATGAATAAGTATCAGAACTTTACATATCATTTTATACATGGTAGGTAAATATAATTTATATTATATTTTGTGTCTCATAATGTCATTGGTTTCAACTATAATGATTATAATAACTGTTTAATCTAGTATAACTCGATGTTTTCTAATGAAGCGCTGACATTTACAAAACTTGTAGTGTCATTCTAAGTGAAATATTTAATGTAGAAGTCAGCGTCGTCATTAGAGTCGTCTAGTTATAATAACACTAGAACTTTAGAATAAGAGAATCCTCCCTATAATTAATGACGTAATGCTACAAATAGGTAGGTATGTAAAAAAGCGAGTCGGGAACTCATTGCGGTTTTCAACAATAACCACTTTACCAGAAACACTTATAACGTTATATAAATGACATCCTTTATGGTGAATAACCGCAACGCTATTCACATTTTCTCATTAACTAGTCATCAACATGTTACCAACAAAAACTTATATTTTCACCTAAATTATTTTGTAAACTATGTATAATCTAAACAATCTACAATTTGTTACATTATTCATCTTACATACATCAATCGATAATATTGTTCCGTCTTTTAAAAAAAATACATGATTTTTGTCACCTCTTCCGGTCGTTTTAGTCTGTGGATAGTCACCGGTACGTATATTTTATTTCTTGGAAGAAAATTTCTCATCACAATTCATCGTAGCGATAATATGATCCACATGTTCAATTTATAGAGAGCGTATTCAGTTTTTCAAGACGCTCACGTTAAAAAACATTTTCAATTTACAACGTATTACATCACTACGTCGTCGTCGTATCCACAAATTTGAACTACAGGATCACCATAATAAAACACGTGGTAACAATCTAGATAAAGGTCCGAGTTTGAACGACGTTCACGTTGAATTTGGAATGTCTAATTTGACCGCGTGTCCGTCGAGAGAGTTCGTACGGTACCGCGTCCATCCTTTTCGGAGGGTGAGTGAGGTTTTATCGTGTACGTGCTCGGTGGTCCGAGTGCGAGCGGAGTGGGTCCGCTCTGGGGGGTGGGGCGGGGCGGAGCGCTAGTTGCGGTAGATGTAGGCGCAGGGCTGGGGCGCAGGCGGCGGCGGCGTCGGCGGCCGCTCACCCGACGGCGACGGCGACGACGACGGCGGCGACGGTGATGACGAGGAACCGTTGCCGCTCGCCGACGCCGACCCCGATCCGCTGCTGCGCTGCGACACTAAAAATAACACATAATTTTTAATGATCCTTAAGGAAAAGAAATAAGCTGCTAGCAGATCAATCTGAGCCAAAGGAATTCTCTTTACAACTTGAATGTGAATAAATGAGGCGTACTGGCCTGTACCTGTATCTATGCTATATTATAGCTGTATATGTTATAGAGATATAATTCTTTTATAGTGGATTTTTTAAACATTTTTCATTAAGAATATATCTTTGTGAATGCAAAATTGATCAAATTTAATAATCTAAAATTCATTTTATAGTCATTCTTCAGTGCGTTTAGTATAATAATCACCGTTTAACTGATTAACACAAACCAAAATATTTTTTTAGAATTTACCTATAATTACTACACAAATAATGTCGATAATTGCTATCAAAATGGCCCCTTAGAAAAATATAAGAAAAAAGTCCCGTTATAAAGTGGGTACGATTAGTCGGCAGAAAACATTGAGTATTATATCTGTAAGAAACTTACCCAGCGTGTGGTGGTGGTGCGAATTATGCTTATGATGGTGCATTTGGTCGCGCGAGTCCGCCCCGCTTGTTTCTCAGAGGTACACTTTCTTCACTGAACGCGTGGTCGAGAAGCCGTTGTCGTTCCCACGCCGGTACCCATCGCCCTGCGGTCCGAATATTCCTGCGTTAACTGACATGCCGCGAATGCGTGAGTGAGTAATGAGGCTGATGAAAGGCTACAAGCAAGTTTCAATATCCATGAGTTCTATATGAATTGCTTCGAAAATTACTTTTGTTGTGGATAAATTGAATGATTATTATGGAGTTTAGTTGTTTTAATATGCATGAAACTATAAATGATTTATGATATTTATCTATGTGATGCAAAACAAATAATGCGATGATGGTTTTTTAGATGACATAATAGTGTTAAGTCATAAAACTCATGAACACAAAACTTTGAAATAATTAATAAAATCAATGTTAATTTATGGATGAATTAAGCAATGAAGATAGAAGAGCTTGACAGTTTAGTAGTTTGCGCGTTTGACTTGTGATCGTGGAAGTGAAGCAACTTTCGTAATGGTTGGTTATTCGATGGGTGATTAAACAATAACTTTCTCAATCTCTTCAGTCTTTCACAAGGCAATGTAAGCTGTTGCAATCAAAAAGGTTTTAATATTTGTATTTCTTCCTACTACTTACTAAAAGAAGACAAGTGAACTATGTCATATGACAATTTCGTGGAACATTACTGCTCACTTAAATAACAACTCTATTTATTTGTTGTTTTCGTAAGCAGTTAATAAATATTCCATAGTCGTTAAAAAAGACAGCAATAAGTTGACAACAACAATAAGGTTTCACTCGCACTTGTGACTTTTTGTCACCTTGACTCTCTGTTTCCTGTCACCACGCTTGAGAATTCTTGCGGTGGCGCACGTACGCAATAATAAGTAACAATTAGATGATGTCCACAGGAATGACAGAATCAATAAGACATGATGACAAAAATCACCGGTACGCACGTAGCCTAATACAGCACACTGAGAATACGTGATTGCTAATACTTTAATTATTGAAGTAATTTATCAAACGGGAACTGATGACGATGGAAGTAAGATGGAATCATGAGATAATAATGAAGAAAGCTATTCATGCAGTAAGGAAACACAAAATTAAAGTGAAGATAGAGGAATACATGCAAGACGGAATGTGGTTACCAGCAACAAAGATTACTAATATACACTGAGATTTTGATCGATCAAGGTAATTATTATATATCGGTAATGCATTTGAACGAGGAAGAATATACGAGAAAAAAGTGTAAACATTTACGAGAGTTAGTAACATTTCCATAAACATAAAATAATTTCCATAGACATCAAATCCATAAAAATATTTTCACCTTTTATGTACCAGTCGCTAATAGGATTTCATAGCAACAGTCTAATTAGGAGGCTTGGTTTTCTTGTTGTCGATCCGCTAATCGCACTGCACAAATCAAACCATGCAAAAGAAGATAGTGGAGCACAACTGACATTGACCTGATGGGAGCGTAATGTTCCGAAGTTGTCGCGTCTGTACGCGTCCGGTTGGAACTGGAACAGCGTCTCGTGGTGGGGGTGGTAGGGGGGATGCTTGCGGAGGGTGGCGCGCGGGGACGCTGGCTTCGGTTGCGGAGCCAACACTGGCTCAGCGTACGTCACTTCCTCCACTTGCTGAAGTAGTTTGGGCTCTGCTTGAATCCTGTTAATGATATTAAGTTTTTGTTTTTAAGAAAGAAAATTTATCACAGACTTTTCTAGAATAACCAGCTTCGTAACAGGGTAATGCACACTGCACTCCTTGGCCACCACTTTTCAATAAATTTATTATCATTATAAGATATGTGGCTAATGTGCATTTATTATTGGCCAATATTTGAGCATTTTTGTTTGTCTGTCTGTCAGGTAGATTTATTAAAGAATATTAAACACGTATTGTTCATTTTTACGTTATCAATAAACTATGTTGACATATTGAGTTGAAATATATGATATTAAATGAAAAAATATATATCCAGGCAACATCACTATTGTCAATATAATTAGATATACATAGCAAATGAAACACAATTGAATGAAGCACAATGTAAGCATGAACTTGTCTCCATAAAAAATGTCTCTAAGATGACCTTAAATAACTTTTAGAATGATATGTATTACAAATAATATATTTTATTCAAATTAGATAAAAATGACATGAAATGTATTTCCACAACTGTTATATTTTCTACAAATAAAGTAATAAAATTTATTTTCCCATTCCCTTTAATTATTGTGAATTGTATAAAGAGTTAATACTGCAGTGAAAATTATATATGAATTAAATCATTCAAAATACCAATCACCATGAAAACTTTGTTAGCCTACCTGTTAATGTTCTGCCTCTGTTCGAAATATTCGTATTCTGTGTCCGGATAGGGCATATTATCGTCCTCATCCTTCTTGCAGCGGCGGCCGCAGATGTAGCCGGCGGCGAAGCCAGCGCCGAGGGCGGCGAGAGCGCCCGCCGCTACCGCTAACGCTAGAGTTTCTACTGAATACGCGGCCGGTGGAGGATCTGCTGTTATTACTTCTGGACCTGGAAAAATTATCAATGTAAGATCTGTTGCATATACATTCAATAAGTTTTAATGACGGCTTTAAGCTTTAGGCTATAAATAATGACAATTTTAATGGACGTTTGAGTAATTAGGTGTTAGTGTTCTTGATCAGATAACTAATACTAATGTTTTTCATTCAACAAACAAAAAGTATCAAATGTGTTGCAGTTTGCGAGTAATGTTTTTTATAAATTAAATTTTTAAGAATTAATAAAAAGAAGATTATTGGCATCCTACATTTTATCCATGTAAATTATAACTGTGCATAATTTGATATTCCTTCCGTCGCATAATTTGTCTCTTAAAGTTTTTTGTTTCATTATTATAATATAAGCTTATTATTATTGTTATTTGATTGACCTATTACAAATTTATGCAGAGAGTTATGAGAATTTTTTACAGTATGAAATAAATAGATTTCAGACAATTCAAGAAAGTGAAAATCTTATACGAATTCATTATAGATTGATTGTCATTAAAAAAACTTTTTTATTGTTTCATAATTAAGTTAGGTAGTATATAGCAACTTTGCTTATAAGTGTAGTGTATTAATCACAGGAATCAATTGACTAGAGTTAGACTATTATTATAATAATGGTTCAAATCATTTTATTTATTTGAAGACAATTTACCTTCATTGTTATTGTTGCCTCCTTTACCGTCTTTGTCCTGAACTATATTAATGACTTCTCCTTTTGTCTCTCCACGGGCGTCATCGTACAAACCTGAGCTTAGACCACCTACTGCCCCGGCATCTTTACCTGCAATACAATATTAATTAAAAATTTTCTTGATAAAACTTTCTGTAATACATAGTTTAGAAATACTTCTGGTATAAATTCCTAAAAAGTGGGAAAGCCTAAGAAGAAAAACATAATACTGCTGCTGTGAAACACTTTTGATAATGTCAAGTTTATGACCGACATTTCGGACGCTTTGTTTCACTAAATATCTTGTCTTTTATTCTCTTCACTATTGTTTTATATTTTACGATTGTTTGCATTGAATAGGCTCTCGAAACGACTGAATCGATTTTAAAAAATTTTTCACCAACGGTAAGCTACATCATACATAGGCTATAATTTACGCGTGTGAAGTCGCGAATAGCTAGTGTTACATAACAATCAACCTAATAGCCTATTAATAAAATATTATTGTGTATGGATACATGGATATCCATAGGGAATGCGTGTGCTCTAGCAGTGAGAACATTCAATAGGGTGACGACGATGATGGAGTCAACATTGTACAATAATACTTGATTGAAAGGCAATCAAAGTAGCATATCCACCCGTTTCAGAATTAAAATATTTAGATATTAGCTACTAAATATGATACTAGAGTATCGTTGTTGGACCAAGTTTACAGTCTGCTAATCGTAAAACAGTACGTACTGTGCGGGCAGGCAGCATGACTACCGGTGCTAACACTCTGATAGAACGAGTTCTCGTCCAACCATCGACTGACGCCGTGGGAGTAAGCGCGGCAACGACCCGCTTGCTTGTCCCAAGCACAATATGGGTCTTGTAATGCTACACATTCACTGTAAACAATACAAACACTTGAAAACACAAACAGTATGAGAATTAAATGTAGTCCAGATTTAAAGATTATGTACATTTTATTCTCATATTGATTGTAACGGTAATGTCGTTTTAATTTAACGACAATTTTAATGGACGTTTGTGCTACTAGGTATTAATATAATAAAGAATTAAGATTAAATATATACTTTAATATATAGTACATAGTAATATTTAATCAGCAATGTAAAGGAAAGCATCACGAAAGGCTACGAGAGCAACATTTTTAATAGAAATCAATAAGGTACATTAAGTTTATTAGAGATTAAAATGTCGCTTGATTACATTCTAGCTTTCAGTATATTCTAAATTATTTTAAAGATTTTAATAAAAATTAGTATTAATATTATAAATTATCAATGCAACTTGTAGTAATACTTACGAGCACGAGCTGATCTTGTCACTAGAACACCTATGCAGCCTCAAGCTTAGAACCTCTCTGTCTGATACCGCTATGAGCCGAGCTGCGTCTCTACCTGCTCTAGCAACTCTTAGTGCTCTCACTGGAGAGCCAGCAGCGAAAGCTTGGAGCTCTTCTATAACTACTGGCACTGCCCGTTTGTTCGAATCGTATGATACAGCGTTGATAGCTTTGATTATTTTGCCGTTATCTGAAAATTTTCAGTTATCAATAATGGGCTAGATGGAGAACGCAGAACAAAGACAAAAACTCGGTTTTTACTTTTTATTTATAACAGAGATTTAAATGTAATTTCCTAAATAACTGTAATGTTTATGAAAAAATATCAATATCATAAAAAATACTTAATAATTAGTTAAAACCATTATCTAACGTACCGTTATAACCGTATTTAATTCGATTATTAACATATAAATTTCGGTTATTTATCCTAACCGAAACGAATAACCACAAAAAACCCTGGTTAACCGTTTAATAGAGGTTAACAGTTTCAAATCTTTTTGATTCGGTTTAGACTCTATACAGTTAACTCTTTCATTACGGTTTAAACAAAAACACTTTTAATCTGTTAACGGAATCAATCTGTAACCGTTTTAAACGGTAAGCGAATGAATTGGTAACCGTTATAAGCGGTTACCGTTATTAATGGGTTATCCAAGTACTGCCCACGAGACGGTTAATTGATAACGTCAGGGGAATGAGTAACGAGAAAGTGGAAGGTCCTGATGCTAAACGTAAATAACAAAGCAGAAGGCGAAGAGATATGGAAAAAAAATGCTGCGCCAGAGCTGGCATTAGGTAGGTATAACGTGGTCTGTGGTAGGTATAAATGTTATATTACTTGGACAGGTAATGTACTTATTGTTACGAACAAACGTCAGTCCAGTGAACGGTTAACTATCATGTGTAAGAGAGGTGGTTTATTATATTTTATGATCTTGTCTAGTTTTATTGATAGCATCATGGTACATATTAGTGTTGTGTTTGAGTATTCGCCAGTATTGTTATTGCCAGGTAAAATGGGTAAAAAAAATATTTCATAATAATAAAAGTTTGAAAAGAAAAATGTACCTGTTCCAATAAATAGGACGTCGTAAGCTTTTCCACCAGGAGTCTTCACTTGCGGATCTACGGCGATTTGTGTAAATCGATAGCTGTAAGAGTGGACATTGAGTGTTTAAAAATGTCTCATTTAAATATATATAAATAAAATGTATTTTTTATGTTTTGCTAACTATAAAATTTTATTATTAAATTCAAACATTGTCATAATTTTAATATAAAACCTACTGGAAACTAGTCCTTATGACGATGGGCTCTCCGAAGAACGCAGGTACTGATTCGTCCATCAATGCATGAGTCTTTATAAAGTTTAGCGTTTGATCTGGCAGTTGTCGGGAGTCGTTGTGACATGTGCCTGGACGTGGTTCTGGGACCTGCGACAATCAATTTTAAATCTCAATTAAGTTCACTAGTAGCGGAAAGTAAAGCTTTAAATTTATTGCAGCACAAGCTTTTGCCCGCGACTTCGTCCGCGTGGTAAAGTTACTTTGAGTAGCATTTCTAACGAATATTTATTCATTGTATCCAGTAAAATACTTGAAATAAACTTTCAAAGTCTCATACAAACTTTCATCCCCTATTTTATCCCCTTGGGGCTAGAATTGATCAAAATCCTTTCTTAGCAGATGCCTACGTTACGAGGGTCAAACTGAAAGTTCTTAGAAAATCAAAAACTGATTACATTAGCCAGTTATTAGTTTTATTATATCTTTTCAAAATATTGTCCATTCACGTCAATACACCGCTGCATGCGATGGAACCACTGGGAAAAGCACTTTGCCCACTCGTCCTTAGGGGTCTCTTCAATGGCATCGCGATACGCAGCCACCGCTTCTTCAGCATTCATAAACCGCTTTCCTTTAAGTTTTTCTTTAATTTTTGGAAATAAATAAAAATCACAAGGCGCGAGGTCGGGGCTATACGGCGGGTGACCCAGTAATTCAACGTTTGATGTCGCCAAATAGTCGATCGTTCGCTTGGCGGTGTGCGACGAGGCGTTGTCGTGGTGAAGGAGGATCCTACTGCGAGGTCGTTTCTCTCGAACTTTTTCCAAGACAAGTGGCAAACAATTGGTAGTGTACCATTCTGCAGAAACTGTTTTTTGATCCTCTAACACAATTGTTGCAAAATGACCTATCCTTCCAAAGAACGAGGCCACCATTTTTTTTCCCGCACTTCGATCTCTCTTCACTTTAGTTGGCAACTCCTCGAAAGGAAACACCCACTGAGCAGATTGTCTTTTGGTTTTAGGATCATAACAGTAAATCCAGCTTTCGTCACCTGTTAGTATGTCGAACACAGCATTTGAGTCACCTCCGTTAAATCTTTCAATCATTTTACGACACCAATCCACACGATGGAGTTTTTGAGCCTCAGTCAAATTATGAGGTATCCACCGGGCGCAAAGCTTCCTGACCGCTAAATGTTCGTGGAGGATTTTGTGCACTTGACTCATACCGATGCCTAAGCTTGTCCGAATCTGTTGATAGGTCACTCTTTTGTCAGTCTCTATCATACGCCGCACAACACAGATGTTATCTTCAGTCGTCGCCGTAGAAGGCCGTCCCTCACGTAAATCATCAGTGAGATTAGTGCGACCACGTTTAAACTCATTAAACCAGTTGTAAACAGTCGCACGAGATGGGGCTTCATCGTAAAAGGCCAATCGTAGTCTATCATAACTTTCTTGTTGACTTAAATGACATCGAAAGTCATAAAAAATCATTGCACGAAAATTTTCTCGTGTTAAATTCATGATGACGTGACACAGACAATTTTCAATTTGCCGCCAAATCGTAAAACAAATGACAAATGAATGAAATATATACTCAGTAATATTGGCAAAGAGTTATATTTTCAAATTTTAGAATTATTTTTTTATTATATTGTTTATAAGTGGCCAGTTCTAAGAACTTTCAGTTTGACCCTCGTATAACATCTATCCGAATGCCAAATTTCAGCCCAATTCGTCCAGTGGTTTGGGCTGTATGTTGATAGATCACTATATCAGTCAGTCACCTTTGAGTTATATATATTTAGATAAAGTTATTGCTTTAAACTTATTGCAGTATAAAGATGAGCTCACACTCAATTAAGTTCACTATTAGCGGAAATTAACAATGCTAGAAAAATCCCTCTGTCCTGTTGGGCCTCGGGTAATTTAGTGGTTAGAGCCCGGACAGTCGTAGGTTTGAGTCCATCTCGGAATATCTGGGACTGCTGGATTTTTAAGCATTTTTTATTAAGAACATATAATTAAAAACAACTTCAATTATTAAATAAAAACATACCTTAGCACTGTTAACTGGTAACCAGTTTGAGTTGATAGCACTCTGTTCTTTGAAGGTGCCCTCGAAGGTATCAGCTATGTCTTGCATACTAAACGCGCATACGGCACTGCCAGAGATGCTGTTCGGTGGTGTGGTGAATGTGCCGTATATAAGTTGTGCGCTGAGACCTCCATATACTCCCTCTATAAGTTCCGTCGTCGATTCTATAAGAATTATGAGTGTGTTACAATTACAAATAGTATGACATGAAAAAATGGAGTGCACCTATTTTTCTTTTTTCTTTTGAAGTGACCGAATAGCCCATAATTATTTGAGTGCTTGTTATATGAAATAAGAACACCAAATTCTTTAAGGAGTTGTTAGAGTGGATGAGTATTCAAAGCAGACATTTTGAAAAGTACTTAAAATTCATTAAATTCCTTTCGTTACTACTAGTATTTTATTAATAATAGTAAAGATTCAATCCGATTTAATTTTAGATAAATCAAATGTAAACCCAGAAATTCATACCCAAAAATATAATTAAAACAAAAAGACTACCTGTAATTCGTAGAGGTATCTTTTTAATTTGGCACCATGAGATAAGAACACCATTAAATAATATATACATATAATCAGACTCCAGCATAATGTGTACATACAATGCACAATATTCTTGAATCTCGTTACTCAAATGTATGCTTGCATGGATGGACACGCGGGGTTAGCGGGCGGTGTGGTATTATAGTAGATCAGGGTGGATATGGTTGATGGACCGGCAAGAGATGCACTTTACTTCTCTCGCGCTCTCTGTATTTATATTCAGCCCCCTATTACTTAAAACTTATTTCAGTATAAAGATGATGAGCTTACACGAAACAGGGAATTGCCATAGCTGTGGCATCAGCTAACGTCCACATTAGCTAGACTAATGTAAGGCACTTCACTAAGGAAGCCGTTACAATTCGCTTACGTATTTCATTGAAGTAGAAAGGGAAGTCTCCCGCGACGGAACAGTTCAGTCGGGACTTCAGGAATGAGGTCCATCGTTGTTTGAAACGATGCGGACCTCCTCTATCATCACGGCATACCCTCGCAACTCGTGAAAACACCGACTGAAATAAAGGTATAAATCATTTTAACAAGCTCTTCAGTACTCAAGTGACATTGACATAGATTATATAAAATATTGATTGAATTTGCTTTATTTCGTTATCTTGAGTAGTCAACTCTAATCTGAATTCGATTTTCAGTGAATACAATGTCATCATAGTTTCTGATTTTAACGATACTTCTATAACAATGCTTTTATTGATTTCCATTACTTCCTATTTTGGAACGTAGTTTGTAATCCAATTATTTTTTCTTTTATTTAATTATACTCTAAATAGGTGAATGAATAAAGAAGCAATGATGTCGACGCAATCATCTGAGGTCCAAAACAGTATCATCCTCATCAGCCTATGAATATCCGCACTGCTCGGGCTCAAGCCGTCCTTATGGCGATTGGTGAGTAACGACTACAGATTCAGCCGTAATTAACGGGCTCAACGTGAACTCCCGAAATACTGAGGAGCTCAAGATAATAAATTTTTGATCATCCACCCAATGACTGTTCGTTGCAAACGTTGCTCGACGTCGTATACCGAACTCGCTAACATCGAGATAGTATAAAAAAAAGTTCATATCGAATCCGGTTCAGAGTTGGCTATTGAAGATTACGAAAAGTAAAAATTCGTCACACAATACGAGATTCTCCATTAATTAACTAATTTTGCATGGATATTTAAGCTTTGTGTGGTTAAAACTTGATGAATATGAAGTTTTACCTTGCCGCAGTTAATGTATTCCACTGCTGTTTCCCTGAAGAAGAAATAAACGAAGTTGCCGTGTACCAGAGAATTGACGAAGTCGGGAGCTGTAAAGAAATTACAATATTAATTATCCATGAAGTCTTTATTTTATTTTAAGGACATAGTTTAATATAATATTTAAATCGTATCCTATAACCTAAAATATAGTGTTCTCACTGTAATGGCTCAGTTACATAAGTTGATGGTGTCCGCATATAAGTAAAAAAAAACCAGCCAAATGCAAGTCGGAGTCGCGCACGAACTAAGGTACCGGAAACGAGCGGAAAAATCACGTTTGTTGTATTTGTCCCCCCTTATATATTTATTTTATTCTCGTTCAGTTGCACAAACGTCCATTAAGGTTTAACGACGCCTTAAAGATAATGAAGCTTTAATCTAAAGACATTTTAATGGACGTTTGTGCAAGTGGCTGTCTGTTTTTTAGTTTGATGTTATAGTGGCAACAAAAATACAATACATCATCTGTGAAAATTTAAAATGTTAATTATCACAGTTTCTGGGATACCGTCTTGTGACCGACGGACAGGCAGACGGACGGACAGTGGAGTCTTAGTGATAAGGGTCTATTTTTATCCATTGGGTGGGCTTAAAAATTTGTACGATTCAAAAGTGCTTTTAATATGTTTATATTTGAATACTTAAAGATTATTTTGAAATTGACTCAAGCGCAGAATAAATAATATTGATTTGATCCAACCTTTCTAGCTTATGTTATTTCTACTGATCGAAATAGTTTCGTAATCATCCTAAAGAAAATAAACCTAATGGGAATTTAAAAAAATATCCTATTCCTATTGAAGCTTCATATTTGGGGGGTTTATGAGGTAGGCTGTGATTAGTACTCTTGTTACTATAACTCAGTTATCTAATTACCATAATCACCCATCAGTTATGTCATATCAGGACTGTAATACGTCCGTTGTTTATTATTAGCACTTCATTATGCATAGTAACGTCAGTAGGGTTGACAAAAATACATTTACATTATTATGGATAAAACTTTTGGGTTTGCTTTGGTTTTGGAGGGGTGTTGGTTCGATTTTTAGCATTTGGGTATTAATATCACTTATTTTACTTATGTGATGGTATTAAAACATAGGTTCATAAGGATTTACGATAAAAAATTTTTGCGTCAGGCTTATTATATTTTTTTAATAAAATAATTTTCGCTTGAAAAGCCTTACGCTAAAAGGCTAGTGAAAATTATCTACTAAACACATGTTTTCATCAACTAGTTAAAAGAGATAAAAATCAATAAATTTGACTTTATAATAGTAACGTATCTGCATAGTGAAACTGATTACTTTGTAAAACAGAAAATAACAAACTTCCTTAACTTATTTTGTCTTACCGTCAACCGAATTAAATTAAGTTGGAGAATTTGGCAGATTTGTAACATCTAATGTGAAGTTGATTGTACCTCTATAATGGCGTAGTATAATATATACAGAGATAGTATATAATCAAACCAATGGTGTGTCTGATATCATGTATAAGAATAAGGGTTGCATTTGTCCTTATCCGTATAAGGTCCAGATAAACCCGTTCAATTGCGGTTCGCCGCTCCAGTCTGTACGGAGCAATACCCAAACGATTTGTCTAAATGTCTAACAATGATGCCACCCTATCGCTTTAACTCTTCTATATCTGCAATTATAATACGATCCTAATCCGATTCACCGATTGTTGACGCGTCAAACGTCAGCAATGACAGCGAATTCCCGCCAAACATGTTCCAAATTCAATTATATTGACGGATGTATGTTTGACAGTATTCGGGGGCAATCGATTGTGACGGTCGTATAAAGAGATATGGGTAATATGTAGTTGGGTTACGGTTTAGTAAAAGAACTGAGATTTCTTACTTTTCTAACTTTTATCGGTATCATGAATAATGAAATGGGCTGCTGGATAATTTCAAAACTTAAACAATATAATAACTTTTTCGTCTATATAAAAGAATAAACGAAACATTATATCATATCGCTTTTTTCATAATACGTTTTTTTATTATTATTAAATTTTGGTTTCAAATACAATAACATACAAAGGTAATCAATAAAATTGTACGATCTTTGAATATGTAGTAAACATTATTTGTCAGTTAATTATCATTACTTTTTCTTAATTCTCTATTTCAGCGATAAAAGTAAGCATGTAATATCAAAATTCAAAAAATGACAGGCATAATTAGGTTTGAATGAATAAAGTTCTCTAGACCAAATTCATATTATTCATGTAAAAATAACAACGTCTTTATTATAATAAAACGTACCATTAAGCGTCATCGAGTCGTAGGGCTCTGTCTGTAGAGGTTCTCTATAAATTATAGGCTCCATCCCACTGAAGTCTGCTACGGTCCCCGAATATAACTCTCCATCTGAAAGAAAAATTAAATTGAATCATTAATTTTTAAACAGCCTCCCCTAGTTCTGAACTTTATTGATCACGCCTTCTTTTACATTCAGATTACAGAGTTTGAATATAGAAAGTTCTAATTTTAAAAGTTAGTTATCTTTTTTCTTCGGAGTTTGTACTTTTTTGTTGTGAAAACAGGAACATGATCATGGAAGTTGTATAACAAAGGTTCAAAACTATGAAACATTAAATAAAATTATGGAATTAATGAGAATTCCTTTGTTTGTTAGTTTCTGATCGTTAATTACATTATGTACTTAGGCAATCGCCTCAATAGGCACGATCACTAACGCACTGCGTAACATGCCATAGGTTTACGTGACTCGAATATAGCTGATATCGGACTGAATTAATTAATAGCTGTACATAGCTGCCACAATATGCTAATATAAGACAATGGCGACGTTTCAGACTACCTTTTGGGGATACTGGAAGCATCTTGAATTTATAATATTCTTGAATTATAGAAGACTGATATGCTACTCGTATTTATTTCTATTTTAACGCCAAATTTTATGAATTATATATGTGTATATTTATATGTTTAGGCCGTATGGTTTCATCGGTGGCATCTTGGATGATTAATAATAATCTATTACTAATAATAAAGCTGAAGAGTGTGTTTGTTTGTTTGGTTAAACTTTATAATCTTAGGAACTACTGGAACGAATTGAATTATTGTGTTGAATAGTCCATTTATCGAAGAGTGCTATATAAAACCACGTTATGATTTATAGGAATGGAGCAGTAAAGAAAAATGTAGCAAAATCGGTGAAAGTTACATGTTAAAAAGTCTGCGACATATGCTTATAGAAAAAAAAAACACATAAAGGGATTAACATGGAAGTAGAAGTAGGTAAACGACAGAAGATGGAGGACTATGAACGAGATATTTTAATGCTTAACCGAGAGGCAGTAAATTATATTTGCACAAAATGTACTAAACAACCGATAATTATGAATGACTTATAAAGTAAAAAAATGAGCTTACTAATGGTAGGAAACAGTTTTATCTAAAAAAAAAAACAACTAAAATTCAATGAATTGAGAAAGCAAGAACTAGCTGACCATCAAGTTGCTATAAGGATCAGGCGTAGAATAGAAAGTAAATATTTGTTTGTACGTTTTGCAAGGCGTGTTGATTCTACTGCACACTAAAATAGAAAGAAGAGCAACTGGATAGGGAGATGCCTGCGGCTTAATACTCCAGTATAGCAGGCCAGTGCACACACAGTACCCTCGGACCACGTGGCCGAAGCTACGGGTAACACCTAGTAAACTATAAAATGAAAGTGCATTTCTAGTTATAATCTGCTCAGTAATCTGTTCTTGTAACAGAAACTTTACACTAGAAAAAGACAAATATTGTTTAAGCAGCACAGAATAGTTTTTTCAAATTTAACTAACGTTTATCCCTCGAAATTCCTTTGCCCGAATAGAGGCAGTAGTTGTGTATCATTTATGGTTTAATTATGAGTAGGTATGTGCTTACACTGCATTGGAGTTCCCAGGGGCGTCGCTCTGATAATTGGACAGACCTCAGATAACTAACCGTATCCGAACGTATCTCGCCGTGTCTAGGCGTGCCCTCCCAGAGGTATATATTGTATTCTTTCATTTAAAATTAGCTGACCCGAGTTATACCGTTTTCAACATTTTTAATTTTCTGCAACTATAATGCAGCAATACTATTCTGTTATAGAAATAGCCTCGCGGAAATAGAGGTTCAAAATAAAACATATTTATTGATAGCTGAACGTGGACTCTACAGTTAGTTTAAAATAAAGAAAAATTACCGAAGAAAATTTATTTAATAACTTTGATTCAAATACCATACAACAAATTAGCAACGGATAAAAATAGAAGGTTGTTGCCTTCTATTATTAGTTATAAAAATGATAATACTTATCCAAGGAAGTCGGAAAAGCTACGTTACCACATATTTCAAAAGATAATAAAGCTCTACGAAGTGATAACGCTGCGTTCGTTAATTCGAAGATTGCTTTTAACAAAACAGCATAGATTTTATTGATTAGGCGTCAATCTTGGGCCGACTGCCATATTATATTTTTAAGTGATGTAACTTGTATAATTTAATCTAATCATACATCATTGTCTATACTAAAACTATATACAAAATTTCAGCCTAATAATTTATAAGATTAGACGAACATACTAAACTAATACAAATATTGCAAATATATAAAATGTTTATAAAATTATTGCCTATGATGTTTCGCGATAAAATAGCTATCGATTGTTTTAGTTTTAAAATAAAGGCCAGTGTTTACTAAGTTTATTTATTAAAAAAATAATACAAACATAATATTTAAATATCTACACTTCACAGTATTTAGATTCCGAAAAGTGATTAAGAAGTTACAAGTGAAGGTACTAACTGCTTATAAACGAGATGCGCTTCACTACTGTCTCCAGCGGGCGACGTTGCTCTTAATTCAACAGATCAATAGTATAACTAACCGTGACTGGCGGTAATGGCACTACTCCAGTAGAATGCACTGTCTATAAGGAATCGAGTGAGCCCACTGTTGACTTAATTAGTACTTCAACACGTTCAAAGCTTACTCATTTAAAATTTCATTTACATAGCTTATCGACGTCTAATAAATATTTTTATGAGTCGTAATTTTGATATAGAATAAAAATTATTCAAATAAAAGCAAGTCTCAAGGTCAATGTAGAAAATGAATATATTGTTACGGAGCTGGGTGATTGTGATAGCTTCCCTCTGGCAAGTGTTCATAACATAAGGGTTTTAAGTACTTAGTTTGGGATCTAAGCAAAGTACTTTGGTGTGTTAAGTGATTTGGTTTATATTTTGTTTTATAAATCCATTATTCTTTGAATTATAAAATAAGTTTGAGTACACAATACAGAAGGGATTTTACAAGACTATCTAATTTTGTTTCTACAATAAATTTGAAGCCGTAGTATCCCAAACTCTGCAATAGAAATATCGATAAAGGATTTGCCTTTATCGGTATTCGTGTGTCAGCAACTCGCCATAGTCTTGTAACGGTACGTACCATGACACCATCCTCTTTGCTAGAATTTTATTCTTGTTCTGTTGTTTTTTACGTTATATAACAAATCATTCAAGCTTATTTAAAGTATTATTTTGAACCTACTACATCTTTCCGATAGAACAACCTGGCATTTGGCGCCCTAAGTGAAGTCCCAATAGGACCCCACGTCGGGCGCCAAAATACCTGTTCATGTATATATTTTTAATACTTTTTGATGTAACTTTTTTCTTTTAAGATACTCTTTGGTCACAATACGTATAAAGTTGACCAGTTCCTTTTCTTATTTTATATTTCCTTGTTTTCTTTTTATTATTATTATATCGTTTTGCTTACAGACGTCGAGTGAATTGCGGATCATCCCTATACTTCTCAAAACTTCACTTAAAGATAAAGAGCAAATGAGACGAGATCATGGCTAGTCTACGAGATAGATAGAGAAAGATGACAATGACAGTCTATTGATCGAAATAGAACGTTGAAAACTATTTGTAATTAATCACCGGAACCATAACGATCGTTGTAAAATTTCACCCCTTGGCTATAGAGTGACTCACATATTTTTTAATTATCCATATAAAATTTAGACAAAAAATAAAAAGACTATATTTGCGAGAAGTCATCGGTTGGATGGTGAATTTTATAAATGACTTTGTAATTTAATTCATAACAGGAAAATTTTATAAATTAGCTTTTTAACTTATTAATTCACACTAACACACACATTGGTTTTCTCTGCTTTAATTAGATCTTATTTTGACTATCAATTCAAAATTGGGAATTTTGGTTTAGAAGCCCTATAAATTATGATTTAAGCCCTATAAATAAATTATTTTCTATCGAAATATAAAAGCAAAACTAATTTTGCACTTTAGTTAGAATAGTATGAAATACTAGCTGTTTTCCCGCGACTATGCCCGCGAGTATAGCCTATTTCACCCGCTTATGATGTAGCTTCCCGTTGGTGAAAGATTTTTAAAATCGGTCCAGTAGTTTCGGAGCCTATTCTATGTAAACAAACAAACAATCAAATCTTTCCTCTTTATAATATTAGTATAGATATAGAAGTGTAGATTTAATTATTAACAAAAGGCTAAGACCACCAGGAGAATTGGCAAACCTATTAGAGGTATGCCTGTGATAAATGAGTGGATGTATATGCGGGGGTTGCAGTTGCGTTAATGTAAAGAAAATTGCACAAAGGCCCACCGTGACGGTAATTGATGTATCCACGGTGCATACTGAGGAGTTGGGGGAAGCGACGTCACGACCCTCCTTCATTTCGGCATGCGATTTCATCACAATTCGTTTCCGTTTAGTGTATTCACTTAATGCCACTCAGTATTTATGATCTGTTCTCTTGAAAATCAATAAAAATGTGAATGGCAATGAAAATTTCAATTTCGTTTGCAGTGTCTCTCTAACTTTACTTTTAACTTTTTTATATTTATTATATATCATTAATAATCAAATTCAACATAATTTAGCTTCTTTACACAGCTTAATTGTACTACAAACAAATAACTGGATAACAGATTTAATTACTACGAGAATATAGAATAGTATCCCATAAATGAAATACTGAAATCATTCCTAAATTAATCTCTAAAGATAAACTTTGTAAATGAGCTAGCATTTTTGTACTTGTTGAATATCTAAAAAAATCTCCTACTAAAAAAATTTAAGTATTATATTTAGTATACTTTCATATTAAGTGTTAACAACGTGAAACGTCATGCTTATTTTTAGAGTACCGGTCAGTTTTTATCACAAAGACAAAATATTTCCTTCGTCAGTGCTCATGTCTAAAATAACAAAAAAAAAAAGACAAATATATTCCAAACAGTACTTTGTTGAGTACAGACAGAGCCGTTATGATATGTTGAAGTAATACACTGCGAACGGATGCCAACGTTACCGCTGACCCGAAAAATTTGACCACTTCGTAACTACATATTTTGTTACGAAATGCTACAGAGTTTTGTGTAGCGAGAAATTCATATTTCGTTTCACATGGACATTTGTTCTATGTACTGTAATATTTATTAACTTTTGTCCCGAAATTTCTTATGAAAATTTAATTATGAAATATTATCGAAGTGAAAAAATAGATTTATTATTGATTAAGGTTTTGTGTAAATTAATTTAAAAAATTAAGGATGGTTGTAAATAATTGTGGAGACCGGAAATTTTCTACTCATAAAGTGCACTTGAACCGCTTAATAAGTCGATACGATTTTTTGTATTTTGTCTTATAATTTTTCACGGGATATGTTAGTGAAAATTGTTTTCTTAAAGTAAGTATGTTTATACAATTTGACTGTTATTTTAACGTTAAAACTTGTTACTTAGATAAAGTACATATATAATGAATTATCTTATTTTTCAGAATTTTCTTGTTAATGTTCAGAACTGTTATAAAAGAGCAAAAACAAATTCTTCGAAAGTCAAAATATTACTATTAGTTTTGATACGTTAATATAGTGATTGTTATCTGCTAAGGCAAAGTAGTGTGCGACAAACTTTAGTGAATAAAAAACGTTATATGGAGAGTATGTGTAATGATCCTCAAAAAACGTACTATATATGTATCTTTTCAATCGACAATGAATACCTATTGTGCGTCACTAGACTGTGAAAGTGGGCTCGATCGATATCAAAAAAGATTTTCCCTTCCTTAATTTTCTAACAATGGTAGAACGTTCTAGATTTTGCGAGCATATGTGCTCCGAAAAGGGTAGGATTGAACCATTGTACTCACATAGATAGATATCACCAATTATTATAGTGGAGGTTTTCCATAATTCATGAAAGAAAATTTTAAGGTGTAATGTAAATTGTCACGAACCATAATTCCTAATAATGAGAGTGAAAAAAACCTTGTCATTATTAAGAATTTATTCCTAACAATGAAAGTAGATTTCTTGAGACCTCTATAGAATTTGTATAACGTTTTCTGGTAATGTTTATACAGTGAACTTGAGTATTTGTGATTCTATAGTATAGATATACGAGTATTCAGAGACTCGGGAATCCCCGATGGGACTCTAAATTAACGTACTAGGTTTTAAAATATCATACACTATAAAGTCGGAATGTCGGTTATAATAAGTCTTAAGAAGGTTTTTATTTGTCAATATGCTGAAAATTTTTAAACAAGAATAAGAATAATATTTAAACTCCTCTCACGAATCAAGCAAATGTTTGAAATTGAGAACCTATCTGCGGTTTAAAAATTCCAGTTTTAGTAAGATACCAACCAGCGTATACAGCTGTGGAGTTATGCTCCGGGTCGTATGGGCAGACAGCTTGGCCTGACTTCTCCCGTTCCATGTGGTAGGATTCCCGCTGCACTCCGTACTCCCGGCAGAAGGGCTTGAAGCTGTTGGTGCCGCAGACTAACAAACGGCCAGGACCCAGTGACACAAGGACGCGGATGTAGTTCTGACAGCTCTCCTGGAATCATCACAAATGATTATAATAAATTAATTAAATTTCTAAAAGAAGTTAAATTTTCTGGCATGTATGGCACTTTTCAGTTTATATTTTTGAATGTTTATTATGGAGATATCTTTATTATCAGTAGGGTTAAACGATGGTGTGCATTTAAAAATGGATTTTATTTCTTTAAAAATTATTTTGTTACTACTTTGACGTGTACCAGTTGACCAGTATAACATAACATGAACATGAAAAATTGTTATATATTATTGAAAAGCATCTGAGTACATTAAGTTTTATTCACTGACTTTTTAGTGATAAAATTTCAGGAACTAAATAATCTGGCACGGAAATCTCTTTAGAGTGTAGTAGTAATAGTGTATAAATCGCGCGAGGGCAATAAATGTTTAGTTACAATCATGATCAACCAATCGATTTTGTTTTTGGAAAATAACAATATTTTTTGTTGTGAAACCACAGCAATAATAAAACTAAGGGTAAAAGCGCTACTGACTGTCTAATAGAACACTCATGGTGCTATTTATTAAGCCAATATTAAATCATTGCATGAGAAAATTGCATATTTTACTTGCACAATCATTAATAAGTTTTACACCTAAAATTGACTAAATAGCAGAGGTTTCCAGGAGTCCATATCAATATTTTTTTTGTTTTTTTCTTCATTACCTGCAAAGGGTTTACGGAATGTTCTCCGGGAAACTACATTTCCGAAGTTAAAGGTGAAGATAAAAAAAAAGTTATAAGTTTAGACTGAGCTTAATCAGAATTTCCTTTTTTATTGCGAAATATACTTGAAAGGCAGGTAAAAATGGCGTTGAAACGCTTTCTGGTTATTTTCAGATTGTGCATTGACCGCTTAATTGGATAATGTGCAAAGCTACTAGTCTTCCATTGTACTTGATACTGAAATTGATTTATTAGGTCACCGCCTCGTTATCAATTTTAGACAGTACGAACTCCTACGACAGGTCTATTTTCAAATAGAGAAAGTATTAATTTCTATGATTTTTAGCCGTTCGATGTCTTCTTTGTTCATAAATTAATGATTAATTAAATTAATGATAAATCATTACTAGTTACAATAAATACTAAAAAGGATGGACTTTATCACCAGTTTTAGTGGAAAATTTATAAGTTAGCAACACTTATTATTACGTTGATAATGTTCACAGACTTCATGTAAACTTCTTCTAAATTACATATATACGTCGTTTCATCATATGTCATGTTCAGTTTAATTGCACATTGGACCAGAGCACGGATCAAAAGATTGCATTAGCATTCCGGGGAAATCGTGTGTCGGTCCTAATCCCTCCACTTGCAATAGGATGTTACAGGACTGATGGAGCATGGGCGGCACATGTAGTCCATCCAAGTGATGGACAGGAGAGATGCTAAAAGCATTTACATGTGAATAGGCATTTGTTTAGGTTTAGATAGTTCAACAGCTACAAAAGGACTCAATTTTGCTTATTTTTAATTATGGGCTCCAGTCGCACACTATTATCTGTCTTCATATATTTTGGAGTAAGTTATGTGAAAAAAGTTCTTTTTATCTTGTTTTATATGACGTTGACGTTTTTATCCTGTTTTTTAAATTACTTGACTGTTGATGTGATTAACTTGGTATTTGTATTTTTTTTCCTGATTTAATTTAGTTTTTAAAAGAGACCTAACGTATTATTGTTTTCATAGCGTACAATACGAGAGAAACAACTTTTAAATAATTTAAGTGTAAAAAAAGTAAAATGATGATGACTATTCATAACTAACATTTATTTAAGAACTAGAAACTCTATAGATAAAATCCTTGTCTTTTTTTTTATCAATTGATCGATCTGGACAGAGTTTTCATTGTATTTTAGGCTACATTAAAATCCTCTATTGATGGCGTGGCATGTTATGTCATGCGATGTCATGGCATGTCTACGAAGTGTGGCATCTTGAAATTGTGATATACCTATTCAACAATAGAGCCATTCGCATTTCATATTAAACTGAGATAATAGAGATTATTACGGTTAGCTGGGTAACGTCAACATGTGTTTGAAACAATAGTCATTCTCTTAGCTTAGTCTAGCTTAAGAAGTTATTGACTTGTATCTAAGTAATGTTAGGTACGTGACGGCTGGATCAATAATATGGTTATATTTATTGGGTCTTTGAATTATGCTATTTTGGGAATTTAGCTTGGGCTTATTATGTAGAATCATCAAAAAGTGAAGCTGCTTTAATTTGTTCGGTTAAATTCAAAGGCGTGTTCTTATTGCAGAAACATAACTGTAATGTAGAATATTCTTATTTATTAATCAGAAATTAAAATTAAAGAAATTAGAATACATTTTATATTCATTCTTTTAATAAGATGCTTTGTTTATTATTCTCATTTTATCTACATATTTATCAGTTTCTTTATTCATTATCTCCCAAATTCTGATGTGGACTCCTCGCAAAAAGAGAACGTGATGTAATAATATAATGAAAATATATCAGAATATTTAAAATACGAAAATATATAATATGGTAATATAATTAAATATAATATTAAACATATTTTATAAAGAAGTAATTAATGTAGAATGAATTAATATATGATTAACAACAATTAGTAATAATAACAAATATAAAAATATAATATATTTATGTTTAAATTATAACATTATATAACATTAGCGAAATTGAAACTTTATAATTACGTATTATTTATTTATAAATTACAATAATAAAAACGGGTGCTCCTCCTTTCTATTATTGTTGTGCCCGACAGAGTCCATAGTGAGACTAACTAAAATATGTAACATTATTTTAAATTGACTATGGAAAGAATAAACTTAATGAGTATTTAAAAATCTAAAAATTAAAATGGGTTTTTTAGATTACAAACTCTATATAATAATATTTAATAATTTTAATTTGTGCTTACTAGCCTAGACATCAATAATAAATCCTCGAGAGCATGTCTATGCCAGTAAGCACAAAAAGTATTTAAGATGGTCAGGCTATTAATATATTTCTTACAGCCTAGACAAATTAGTGTTTCACCTTGAAACTATAACTAAAAGAAATTCTAGTAATATTATAAATGTGAAAGTTTCTTTGTTTGGATGTTTAAATGTTTGGATGTTTGTACGTCAATCACGCCGAAACTACTGAACGGATTTTGATGAAATTTGGTATACAGATAGGGTGTTAGCTGACTTAGATAATAGGATACTTTTTATCCCACTAAATATTTCCCTAGGGTCCACGCGGGCGAAGCCGCTGGCGAAAGCTAGTATCATATAAATTTTCATTATGGCGTTTGACTTTTAAAACATTCATTCATATTCCACAAGTCTCATTTATTCAGGTGCCTTTCTTGATTAATTAAAGTTTTTCTATAATTTTTCACCTCTCAACATAGATTAACTTTTATTCAACGTAGACGAGATTTCTCTCTCTCTCTCTCTCTCACACATACACACACACACAAAAACGAGTGTATAGCTCTAGTGTTAATCTGATAAGATGTCCTGAACAAGTGGTAGGGAGAAAAAAATTTTTGGACGATTCAAAAGTGCTTGTAATAGCCTACTTGAATAAAAATTTTCATTTCATTTCATTTGATACGTCTATTATACTCATGTGCACATATTACGTATCAGGATGCTGCCTCAACCTTCTACTCAAGCTACTGGAGACACATACGAGTATATGCGCTTATTCTGTCAATTGCCATTGATATTTTGATGAGTCGATATTATGATAATTTAATTATATTATAATTGGTGATTTTATTTAATATTTGACGAATATTCAGTTTTTTTATAAATTACCTCGTGTTATATATTTTTATTATATCTTCTTTGTTAACTATAAAGTCTTATTTATTCCAAAAACAGTACCTCAGTAATGAATGTGTAAGATTTTAAGTAGACTGAAAAAGGTGATGCGGAGCAGATAAATTTTAAAAATCTCAAATAGAAAGTATATTTATTTTATTCTGTGATACTATTTACAGTTTTCATATTAAAAATTGTTTACTTTACTGACCGCTTGATTTATTTGTAACTATTGTTCATGCTTTGAACAATAGTTACAAAAAGATACCGTTGTTAAAGCACAATGCTTCGTTAGACATGTTTCTGTCGCCAAATTAACTCTCCAATGAATCTATGAACCGATGCACTAAAAACTTTACAATTCCGACAAACACTGAGTGCTTGAATTCGTAATGGAACGATCGCTCGATACTTCTACAACGTCTGAATTTAGATCGTGTTCAGGAATTGTCTGATGCGCGACTGCAACTGGTCGGAGATTGAAGGCACCACTGTTTAGAATTTGGGTAAATCTAATTGTCGACGTAAACAGACGTAAGTACTGAAGTAAATAAAAGGTTTTCCAGAATGTTTCTCATTTAAAGTCAACAGATATTTGAAGGGTCCATACTAATAATAAATAGAGAAAAGTGTTTGTTTTTGTCCTAATTTCAATTGAACGTAGTTTAAAAATATGAGATATAACTATTTATTAAATTACGAATATAAAATTCAGAATATATTATTTTTGGCACATTTAAACGTTAAATCGATAAACTACCGGAGAAAAAAAAACGCACAATACCGCTGAGTACGGGATAAGCTGTACGCATTTTAATTTAATCCCATACGTAGGCAGATCTAGGCTTTGTCATCTTCAACAAAGAACATACCGGAACTGCCTTAAGCCGGTTTAAAGCGAACAAATCTGTTTAGAAGGCGTGCAGTCGTGGCACGTCTGTGGCTGTTTAGGGTGAGGTAAAATGGTAGAGGGTTACTAGATAGAAATATTTATCCTATCGAAAATACTTCAAAAATTTAACGGTCTCAGGCGCCTGAGACTAGATTCATATTATGTTCAGTTCTAATCAGTGTTAAGTACAGTAAACCTATAGTTTTTGGGCAAGAATTAATAAGGATACAATATTATATAGTTTAGTATTTCCTTTATCTACTTAGTATTCGTTTACGGTAGCCCTGCAACAGTCCTATCTGCAATTGAAGCATGAATTTCCGAATCGTCCCTCGAGCGGCGACCAATCAGCTGCGAGAAACCGGTGCGCAAAGGGAGCATGCCATTCTAGAACGAATGCAGTTAGCGTTCACTTCTGTACACTTGATTTGCATTACTGTCACTTCAGTCCTTATGGAACGTGATAATCATTCCTAATTTTAATTATTGAATACTTTTTTTAATTATTTCGATACAAAATCTTGTCTGATTGGAATTTTTTTAAACCTATATAACCAGTATAGCATGAGGTAGTCCTGCTCCTATTTTCAAAAACTGCTGTGAAGAAGATTAGAGAAATCGTAACAGGTTGTAAAGTTAACTCTTATAAGCATTTTGAATTTAAAGATACACTTAAAAGGTGTAAAATCGCCGAGAAATATGGCCGGCCATCGTAAACTCGACTCGTTTTCAAATAGTTTATTGTTTACGAGTTTCTTACACAGTAAGATTGTTTCGAAGAACTATCTCAAAAGCTTGTTCCAGTATTGTTTACGTTCAGTTTACGGTTAGGAATCAATTTAATGGAAATAAATTTCAACACTCCTTTATCTGTTACGGACTATGTTCCGAGAGTAACAATGAAATCAAGCTCGAAGTGTTGAACATTCCTCGGATTGGTGTCAAAGGAATGCATTCCAAGTCTCTTGAGAACTTATTTCTCGCATTCATACTTCCTTATTCCGGTTTCATTAACTCTAACTAGAATAAGGTTACCGTGGTTCGCTTAACCGGGCGACCTCTAAGGAAATTTCTACCCGATCGACATTTTAATTTGCCGGCATTCAGTAAGCTATGCTCAGAATACCGAGTAAGAAAACGCTCCTTTTAAAACGTACGTTCCAAATTAAATTACATTGTCGTGACGTCGGGTGGATAGCATTTAAATATATCATTACCTGTTAAAGATTTGCTGTTCATAATAATTACTTAGTCTATTAGGATTCTAAGTATATTTTACTTAATAATTTCTAAAACAGTAACATTACTTGTGTTGGTCAAATCTATAATCTTGTCAAAAATTTCAATGAGATTTTTTAAAATTTCATCTTGAAAGCTGCGGCTAGCTTTATGGCCACATTTTTATATTTTTTCATTTTTTAGATATACCTATATGAAATATATAAAAAGTATCATTCATATAAAAAGTTAAAATAAAAAATAAATTAAATTTTAAAAGTTCCCGCGGAAACGTCATCTTCTGTCATGGCGTCGCTGTAACGTAACGCTCATCTAAAACTTATATCGTTCTATGTATGTATAAAGTTTAATTCTCTACCAGGTGTAGACAGATCTTTCTCATTTTGATTATCGTTATTCCGCCATTTTTCAGTTTAAAATTGAATGCTTCGTTATTTTACTTTGGGATCAGATGAACGATTGTTATATCTGCTTGTAAATAATTGTGCTAAGCTTACCTCATCTTTGCCCTTCATGACGCACATTTTGATGTCGTTTTCTGGCGAGTACCATACCAGACGGCGTTGTTCCGTCAGGTCTGTGAGACTGAGGTTGTATACCACGTTCCTATAAAAAAAAAAAAAAAAAAACTCAGTGATCTGAAGCATTAATTTCATATTGTAAGGTAAGTTTATTATTTATTAAGATAAAATTCTGGAAAGTAATGTAACTGTAACGCTACGAGCAATACGTTTATGTGACGACAGATAACAGGCATTTTCAGTACAAATTTCAGATGGGAAATACAGAAAATACAATTTTTATATTGTTTCCTGAAAGTTATTATTTCAGAATCCCGATAGTGAACGAGTATAGAATAATCGATGTTACGTGGTTCGCTAGAGAGCACTCAATAAATACCAATCGATGTTGTGTTTAGTTAAAAACTGTTTTTGCTGTATATAACATATCTACGTACATATCAGTTCTAGTGATTTTACCAGAAGTATATTTAGTTTATTAAATGGAAACTAAATGGTATTTAGTTTGTTTTTATAAAGTTCTGATTATACTAATTACAAAATGCTTAAAAAATTCGCTTGGTTCCTGGCACTCTGAGATGGGAATCGACCCCACGACCTTTCGTAATCCGGGCGACTGCTCTAACCACTGAGCTACCCAGGACCTAACAGGACTGACGAAAGTTTCAAGCACTTGTTACCTTTTCGCTACTAGTGAGTGTATTTTCATCAATGTTCAGGCAATCCACCCAAACAGCCGAAAGAATAATTTTTAAATCTCAAGTCCCTGTTTAGACACGATTAACTATTAAAAATTGATAGAGGCGTTTTAATAATTATGTAGTTTCAGTTATAATTACTTACTCTAATATTTGTAAGACTAACAATTAATAATCATTTGTTTATTTCAAATCTAATTAGATTCAGTGACACCTGGCTTTGTTAACTGACTGTTTTAGAGTATTCTTAGTCTCCACCTGTTTGCTGAAAGCTTTAGTCAATTAAATTTACACTGAATCGCGATGTGAAATGGTTCAGTTTCGGTTGTCCAGCTTCTTGTAGTTGTTAGTAAGCCCTGTGGTTTTGGTCATCCAGGTGAAGTTTGCAGCGCCGTTATTTGTTAAGTTGGCTGGTTAAATGAGGTTGTTTGTCACTGGCCAGTGGTTTTATTCTATTAAAGTTCTTTTTTGTTATCATTATAATATAAGATAAGGTTTTATTATATTAGGATTATGGCAAAGGGTTGGTCATTAATTTACTCTGATATTTTGTTCCGGACTTTCATTCTAAGTTTAATGGCAAAAATTTAATAATGTGTCTATTCTTCTTTGAATTCCTAGCCGTTAACTTAGTCAAGATTACATTGAGGCATAACAATACTGCGGCACCGGCACAAAACATTTGTGATTCTGAAAATAGTTTATAGTACAACAAGTTTACAGAAATTGCTCTAGGTTGTGCACCAAGTTGAACAATTTGTACGTTGAAGCTAAATTACACACAAATTCATGACTGTTCAAATCACGAAATTGTGCAAAAGGATGAATTGTGCTAGTAATAAGTTAAAATTGCTCTACGTATGGAAATATACTGATGATATTTTCCGTAATTATTCAGTCTTTAGAGCAGTTTAAAATATTTCTTTCTCAATAATCAAAACCGACGACTACTTAGTTGAAAATCAATTGAAAATTATATATGCAAATTTAAGTGCAATATTGCTCCGTCCCTTTTAATACAGCAGTATTTAATAAGTATTTATCAAATATATATTTATATTTTGTAGTGAAAAAGTTGCACCTGGTTGTAAGCTAAAAGACACTACTAAATACATGGTTCCTGTTAAGTAACCGTTGTCGTTATCTCGTTTCTCGAGATTATGCCATTGCGACATAATTGCTAAAGTCATCCGACCCCGGGTCCTTAATTAAGATATTTGGCACGAAATTTCATAAAGAAATTACGACGTAAACTTTCCCAATTATAAGGTCGAAATAACCAGTGTCGCTTATCTAATGTTATTTAAATTTACCATACTAAGATATTATTTTTAAAATGTATAATAAATTCAACAAGATACATATACATTCTTGTATCCGATCCTAGGTATATGTTATTGTTAAAAAAAGTGCAGTAAATCGCATAGATATTTTTATGCCTTTTAAAATTAAATTCATGGAAGCCATTACTTTTTAAATAAAGCATTCTCATGCAGGTCATCAAGGCATTTAATCGTGAACCTCAAGGCTGAGTGCTTGTAGTTGTGCAAAGTTAGGGGAGCGAAATTGTGACTCTTAAATAAATATTATAAATGATTATGTTGATTTTTTTTTTCAGACCAGTAGCACGATGACATAATTACATTATATAATTTTTTTTTTGGAGATTCATGGTCACAGTATTTAGAAGTCCATAGAAGCTTTATTTATTTTAACTCCTTAAGAAACCTTAAATGTATTACTACAATTTAACTGTTTTTAATATTTATATCCACATAGTTTAAAACAAAGTCGCTTCCCGCTGTCTGTACACTGAGATCTTTAATACACAACGGGTTTTAATGCGGTTTCATCAATGGATAGAGTGATTTAAGAAAGTTTATAAGTAAGCATAATACAGGAGCAATTTTATATTATGTAAACTTATCAATTATAAATAATGATTTTATGCAATTATAATTATAACAAGTTAATAATCTAACATCTTTAGAATGATCACCCTGTAATGATTTTGGTAGACGATGCTGGCTCGAGGACAAGGAACAAAGAGTGTATCTTTTGACAATTACGCGCCTCAGCGGTTCCCGCCAAAAGGCGGTCATCTTGGTCCACGATCGTCAACGCCATCTTTTGTTCGCACACTCGGTCAGTTTTTGTGTCCGATTTGGGTCGCCACGCACTTGGAACCTGATTGATGGCTTGAAGATACAATTATTTCCGTGTCTGCATTGTGATTATTTTTTTCTCTTTTGTTAAGGAAATTGTATTTCTTATACACTCCCACACAACACGCACGCATACACATAATCACATAAACACTTAGTTATTGATGTCTATTAAGTTGTTTGTGGTAAAAAACTTAATAGCTATTTTATTTGTTCCAGTTAAATTGTAATTTGACAATATACTTCAAGAAGATTGTATATTAGGAGTCCGGTGAAATATGTGAACCCATTTACTTATGTTAAATTTAGCATTCATAATAGGTATTATGTTTACATATTTCAACCAATAAATGTCTTATCTAAGCAGCTTACGTACTTATTATGAAAACCTGAAACAATAAACCTACCAGAACACCCAGAATATAATGAACAATAAAGAAAACTTCAGTTTCTACACTGACTTGATCGAGAATCGAACCTAAGAAGGCGACACGCCTTGAAAACACCATATCAATCACTCGGTCATAGAGATGGTCAGAGATGGAAAACGTTACAAATTCATAACCATAATGATTCAATCGAGAAATCCAGCTTCAATTATTTCAGTATTAGACTTTAGAGCCTTATGATTTTATAATGACATGAAGGTTCCTAGAAATTTTGATATATTCGTATGCACATTACATCAACGAATTTAGTCCATATTGCATAATTTGCGTTTCGTAAATTAATTTCATGGAATGAAAGCCTCACAGCCGCCAATCAGGGTGACACTCATCAATAAACATGGCGGACAGCAGCCGAACGATGGAATCGAAATGAAACATCAAATGTGGTAGCAGTTTTAAAACGAGATTTACATATTTAATAATATTACTTGTTTAATTTTCCAAAACTGGGTTTGATTATGAAACTGTATGAATTTGCAGAGGAAATGGGAAGAATTGAGATACGACGTAGCAACTATTGGCAGACGGAGATTTCCCAGTGGTAGTGTAGTATTGGTTGTTATAGAGTCTTTAGTTTACCTGCAGTTCTCAACAGGAGCATAAGATTATTGATTGAATATTATATAGGTTCTGGAGCCATAGCATTACGTGAAGAATATTTGTAACTCATATTCTTGATGGATTATAAAATCACGTTTCATATATTGATTACATTTAAATGTATTTGGTAATATAAGTTTTTATATTAATGTTCCTACCATATTCCATTGAATGTCACTGATATATAAAGAGCACATTACTAAAATTATGCATATAACATACAACTCTGGGTTTAGATAGTTAACTAAGGTTCGTTTGTGAGCCAAAACAAACAAGGGAATACCATATAAGGATTTATTTATATCTTGCCATCGAAATCTGCAGTTTATGTTAGCAGCTGAGACGTAGGGGATCAACAGGGGTCCATAAAACGACTCCTAACTAGACATAGTAAAACAGCAAACGAAAACATTGGGGGAGAAGGCATTGTCGACGGAAGAATAAATTATAGATAGTGCAGCCAAGTGACTTTATCACGGAAGAACTCCCCTCAAATTGTTACCATTTGTAATCCACAAAAAACAAGAGATAAGGGAATTGTGTCCCGTTATTTTTCCTTAGGATCTAACTGTCAAGAAACATAGGTGTCACAATTTATTGAGGAAATATTGCGATAACGCTGTTACCGACATAATGTTTACAAGATCGATAAGATTTTGTTTCGGGTTCCGCGATAACTTATAACAAAATTTAATATCTGCTAGCGAAAATTATTGCCACCTTGGAAGTGTTCTGTGTATCTATATTTGACAACTCTTTATAATGTTGAAATACGTTAGATGTTTATGAAATTAATTCATATTACAACTTTTAATGAACTGAAAGTATCCTTTACTCAAGAAAACTTTTTAGCTGTCCAACGTTCTTTATATATCGAAAAGATAGAGAAAGAACACACGAGATCTCTCAAAAGTAAAAACTATCTGTACAATGTAACCTTAATGAGGTTCAGGCCTTTTAGTCTGTCACCCTTAGTACAGTTTTATTTTATTTCCTAATCAGAGAATATAGTAATCCTTATTAATTATTGTGGACAAACATCAACAAAACTCGTCCCTTTTAGAAGAACATTGTTTGAGACATTTTTATTATCTAAACATGATGATAATGTCCTTTGATACTTCACATAACTTTCTTTACCTCCACAAAACACTGGCCTACGCATCTCCATATTCATAACCCATGCGAGTTATATGTGAGCTCTCTTAAATCCGTCAAGACGGCGTTTGTCATCAGCATTTGACTGTCAAATAGGCACTCAGGTGGATTGGCTGCAGACGCCGGTTGGCGTTTTTACATGGCAGGCGAACGTCGCGTCAATATTGGAAAACTTCAGGCGCGCTAGCGAGAAATTGCGATTCACATGTTCAGAGATTTATTGCAATTGTTTCTGAACAACATTCATCGTTTATTTCATCGGTAGCGTGACGTTACCTCGAAGTTGCTATGCGATGTCGCAATTTAACTTCGCCTTGCGGTCGTTTGATTGATGAGAAAGACACGGTCACTCTCTCTTGCATTAAAAGAAAAATATTAATTCAGTTAATAGACGTAGCTTAATATAAGCATGTGTTTCAATATTAGAAGTATTTTTGGTATGACGGGGTTTGGAATCAAGACCTTATTTGATAAATTTTATAATATAATATTGGGCAATAAAAGTAGCTGTTACGACATAATCAATAAGCAAAGATATTACATTGGATGAAACAATGTGTTAAGTGTCAAATAAGAAAATGAAGTTCAGGAAAATTTTTATGTTGCATAGATTATAAATTGATGACTTCCGTAGCCGAGTGGTTCGTACGCTGGTTTCTAGGTGTCGCCATCTCTGAGGTACCGAGTTCGATTCCCGGTCGGGTCAATGTAGAAAATGAACTTTTCTTTATTGTCTCGGTGTCTGGGTGTTGTGGTACCTTCGTTGACTCAGATACTCCATAATACGAGGGCTTTAGCTACTTATCTTGGAATTTGAGCAATGTACGTGATGTTGTTTAATATTTTATATTATAAACGTTTCCATAGCGGCTTGCCTTATCCAAATTTAGAAGGCTGCAGCTGCAAGGTATGTTGCTGTATGACATCTGTCATGATAAATATGACTGTGTCGACTTAATAAATAACATTAGTTACAAAGTTCTCTTCAGACCGCGTGTACGAACTTGTCGAGCTAGTGCACTATTCTCAACACCTAGATTCCGAACAAACTCCAGCTTACGTACACCGATATCTCGGTTGACTGACATATATAATAATTATTTTATTCACAACCAATGTTAGCTCGTTTAAAACATTAATTACAAGTATATTAAACGAGATCAGTACATTACTTATAATGAGTACATAAACTTGTTGATATATAACTCTACTATTATACTTCTACTATTAATAGTTGCTCAATTCTCAACTTCCGAAATCGTATTTCCCAGATAATTATTCACAGTTAAGTCACAGTTAATTATTTTTAAAATGTAACTTATATAGATAATTAAGGTTCATTATGAAAATGTTTGTTAACCCTATGAAACTAAAAAAAAGTATTGGAAAATTGAATATTTATGAAACTTTAAATTGGCGGGTACGAACGAATGCCAATAGTCAATATTACTTACGGCACCACGTGTACGAATGTCCTTTTGATATTGTATTAAACGAAACCAGTAAACTTTTCCAATATCGGCACCATGTCGAGTGCATGAAAACAAATTGCATCTTCCGATCGTCGACATTCCATATATTTTGGTGAGAAATCTACTTTTTGTGTCCTTTTTATGGAAATAAGATTTAATTTCAAGTAGGTAATGTTTTTGCTTCGATGATATGTTTTGACTATTAACCTTCAGTAAATTAATGTCAATTTATTCAAGCAACGTTGTAGATTTTTGATTATTTAAATAATTTATTTTTAACAAATATATACATTTAATTATAAATGTACATATTTGTTTCCCAATATCAAGAGATTCTATATATTAAAATATAACAAAAATTACAATTTCGTTGATTATTCAGCATCACACACATAAAACGAATTCTTGCGTTTTAATTAAAAACCACTCAAAATGTCGAGACCGCACTAGCATCTATTGTTGTCTCTGTCTGACGTTTCGTGATTTATGTTGCGCAAACGGGAAGGGTTGTCACACCGGGTTGATGTGTGAAAATAACTTCCTGTTTTGTGGTAAAAGTAAGGACATACATTGTTCTTTGTGTGATTTATCCTTTAAATAAATAATTTTGTTGACTATTATGTGCTAGGTAAAGATTGAAAAAAAAATAGCCCATGTTAGTCACTGATTGGTGTAAGAATTTTGTAAAAAAAGTTTTTGTTTAAAATGTTGAATTGCTTATAACGACAAAATGTTATATAATCTTGAAAACTAGCATATCTCAGAGATTGGAATAAAGGAACAAATTTATTTACGTATAGATGTAAATAAATTTATCTATAAATATATATAACTCAAAGGTGACTGACTGACATAGTGATCTATCAACGCACAGCCCAAACCACTGGATGGTTCGGGCTAAAATTTGGCATTCAGATAGATGTTATAACGTAGGCATCCGCTAAGAAAGGATTTTGATCAATTCTACCCCCAAGGGGATAAAATAGGGGATGAAAGTTTGTATGAAACTTTGCCCATTTTAAACTGATCGGGCCGAGACTTCGCACGCATAAAGCTACATAGACGTAGGGATCCCCTAAGAAAGGATTTTTACCAATTTTACCCCCAAGGGGATAAAATAGGGGATGAAACTTAATTTCAGGTATTTTACACGGTATATAATGAATAAATATTCGTTAGAAATGCTGCTCAAAGTAACGTTACCACGCGGACGAAGTCGCGGGCAAAAGCTAGTTATATAATAAAGAGGTAATGTTTCTAACATTGTTTGAAGCGGTAATAGT